GGGATTCTCAAGAGTCTTCTCCAAAACCACAGTTCAAAAGCATCAATTCTTTGGCACTCAGCCTTCTTTATGGTCCAACTCTCACATCCATTCATGACTACTAGAAAAAAAACATAGCTTTGACTAGACAGACCCCTGTCGGCAAAGCAATGTCTCTGCTTTTTAATACACTGTCTAGGTTGGTCATAGCTTTTCTTCCAAGGAGTAAGCCTCTGCAGTGATGACCAGTGATGACCAGTGATGCAGTCACCATGGCTGCAGTGATTTTGGAGCCCAAGAAAATAAAGTCTCTCAGTGTTTCCATTGTTTCCCCATCTATTTGCCATGAAGTGATGGGACTGAATGCCATGATCTCAGTTTTTTGAATCTTGAGTTTTAAGCCAGCTTTTTCACTCTCCTCTTTCACTTTCATCAAGAGGTTCTTTAGTTCCTCTTCACTTTCTGCCATAAGGGTGGTGTCATCTGCATATCTGAGGTTATTGATATTTCTCCCGGAAATCTTGATTCCAGCCTGTGCTTTATCCAGCCCAGCATTTCATATGATGTACTCTACATTGAAGTTAAATAAGCATGGTGACAATATACAGCCTTGATGTACTCCTTTCCCAATCTGGAGCCAGTCCAAAATTGAGGGCGGGGCTAAGGATATATTCACTTGTAACACCCAGTACAATGGCTGGTGTCAGTAACTGCTTAATAAATGCCAATTATCATCTCTGAAAGAAGACCAACCTTCAGACCTGAGTTTCTCATCACCTGCTGCATATCTCTCTGCTAAGTTATCATAATCACCTAGGTCAAAGATAAACTTAATTTACTTATCAAGGGTTAGTACAGGTGACTTTCACTTTCTTCTTTTTGTTGGACTTTTAAAATCTTGAGTAAGTAAGAATTTAAAGTCACCTGTACTAACCATTGCTTCTCTGATAGCTCAGCTGGTAAAGAATCCGCCTGCAATGCAGAAGACCTGGGTTTGATCCCTGGGTTGGGAAGATCCCCTGGAGAAGGGAAAGGCTACTCACTCCAGTATTTTGGCCTGGAGTATAGTCTATGGGGTTGCAAAGAGTTGGACACGACTGAGCAACTTTCACTTTCAAAATTATTTATAAAAATGGTCTGGCTTTAAAGAGTCAATTAATTGCTTAAATCACATTCGTCGGCAGGTAACAAAAATCAAAGTACATGAAGCAGAAGAGGGGATTCTCCACAGATTCTGGCGTGTCCCCGGAGAGCCAAGAACAGGACTCTGGCAGCACTTGGGACATCCTAGGCCTGGAAACCCAGATTCCCTGAGAATGCTGTCTCTCTCATTTTTCATCTCCAGCCCAGACAGCACAAGAGATGGCAGCAGGCAACTCCTCTAAGATTTATCGTAGCTTCAGCCAGGCACTTCCCTACTTCCAGTCCCTGAACAGACCCCCGCCTGGACCATGTGATAGCAGCCAGAAGGAATATCACGTTATACTGTATGGAAAACCCCACAACAAGCCTGTCGGTTGGAGGCGGGTCTTTAGAAATTGGTGGACAGATGCTGGTGTGTTTCAAACACCAGGTAGCTATCATACAGACTTTGACTGTTCTCTTGCCTCAGTTTCAAAATGCTTCCAGCTTTCCGGGTTCAACCTTAAACACAACTTTGTCTGTAAAACCTTCATTGATCTCCACTCAGCCAAGTCTGAACTCTTTTTAAAAAATTTTCTTTGTGCTTCTCTGTGCTTTTCATTTTGCCTTATTTTATAGTAAGTTTACATGTCTGCAAAATGACAAGAGTAAGAATATAATAAAACTAATTCTAGGTATTAAAATCAGATCAGAATGAAACTAATTCTAGAATTTTAAAATCAGTCCTATGCTACCTAGCTAGGACTGATGAAGCTGAAGTTCCAATACTTTGACCACTTGATGCAAAGAATCAATTCATTGGAAAAGATCCTGATGTTGGAAAAGATTGAGGGCAGGAGGAGAAGGGGGTGAGAGAGGATAAGATGATTGTATGGCATCATCGACATCATGAGTTTGAGCAAACTCCAGGAGATAGTGAAGGATAAGGAAGCCCGGCATGCTGCATTGCATGGGGTCAGAGAGTCAGACACAACTTAGCAATTGAACAACAACGATACCTAGCTAGGTGACTTTGGACAAGTTATTTCACATCTAAACTAGTTTCTTCATTTAAAAAAAAAAGTCAAAGACACAGTAACTCACATGTTCTTGCGAGGATGGAAGACATTGTGTGGGAACTCTAGGCACAGAGCCTGGCTCAGTACATACTCATGAATTGCTAGTTTTTTCTCTTCCCATTTCCCATGCTGGGCTCAAAAGTCCTTAAATTCAGAATTTTCCATTGTGCTTATTAAATGCCTTAATGATAAGTAGGTCTTCATCAAATGTTTGTTGAATTGAATTCCTTTCAGATTGTCTTCTGAGCCAGATTTAACCAGTAGTACTAATACTCATGAGAGGTTGACTAAATCGCCACAATAACCCATGAGATAGACTTTATTGTCTCTATTTTTACAGCTGAGAAAACAAGTGCAGTGAAGTTCAGAATTCGCTGGAAGTTCAGTCTGTGAAGTAGCAGGGTGAGGCGGTGGCACCAGGGCCTTCCACCTCTAATCAGCCCAGCTAGTGGTTTCTTAGGGGCGGAAAACACGGCAACCACGAAACACTTCACATTAGTTAACTTTTTGTTTGAACTAGTTTACATTTTTCCTAGTAAACCAAACAAATGGTTGCTTGGCTTTCTTATTCCTTTAATGAAAAACTTCCAGGAGACTTAAAAGCTTCCTATGGCTGATGACATAGGGTTTCGTAGCTAGCACTAGTGGTAAAGATACATGGGTTCGATCCCTGGGTCAGGAGGATCCCTTGGAGGAAGAAATAGCAACCCACTCCAGGATTCTTGCCTGGAGAATCCCAGGGACAAAGAGAAGCCTGGCGGGCTACAGTCCCTAGGGTCACAAAGAATTGGATACTACTGAAATGACTTAGCACACACATGGCTGATGAAAATGGTCCCAGGATTTTTCCAAAACTACCAATAATTGCAGTTGAGCATGAAGGGCTGATAGAGGCTCCATACTGCCAACTCCTAGGGCCCTGGAACATTTGGGAGTTTCACCTGGTAGATTTCGAAGCTAGCTGCCTGCGTAGCAATACCACTGGCACAACTGTCCCAATAGGCAGCCCCAGGAACATGGGAAAAGTGAAAATTAGCTGTCCACTAAGAACAAGGTGAGAAATACTGACCTGAGCTCTTTATTCTTAGATAATTTCCAGTTATACTTCATTGCTGAAGCCTGATAACTTTGTTAATTTTTCATTTTTTAATTATGTACTTGGCTTTGTTAGGTCTTAGTTGGATCATGCAGGATCTTTCCTTGCAGCATATTGAATCTCTAGTTGTGGCTTGCAGGCTTAGCTGCTCCACAGCATATAGGATCTTAGCTCCCCAACCAAGGAAGATCTTAACTCCCCAAAAAAGGATTGGACCCATGTCCCCTGCATTGCAGGGTGGATTCTTAGCCACTGGACCACCAGGGAAGTTTGTGTTAATCTCTTTATTATAGTTCACTCATCACCATGGGCTTCCCAAGTGGTGCTAGTGGTAAAGAGCCGGCCTGCCAGTGCAGAAGATGTGAGAGATGCAGGTTGGATCCCTGGGTTGGGAAGATACCCTGAAGGAGGGCATGGCAGCTCACTCCCATACTGTTGTCTGGAGAATCCACAGACAGAGGAGCCTGGCAGGCTATGGTCCATAGGGTCGCAAAGAGTCAGACATTGCTGAAGGGACTTAGCACAAATGCATAGCAATCACCACCGAGTATCCAGATTACCTGTGCCAGGAATGACTTGGTAGGTGAGGGGGAAAACACAATGCGGAAAAGATCCAAGCAAACACTGACCACGTACTTGCATGGCAGCTGTGTTTCCAAGGTATATTCACACGTATTTTTCTTCCAAGAGATCCTCTCCTCACCTTTGTGGCGAGGACATAACAACATTATCTCCATTTTACATATGAAGGTACAGAGGTTCACAGCAGTGAAACCAACCAGCAATGTACGTATGAATGTGTTATGACGGAGGTCTTCCATCTGACTCCCTACGCTTACACCATGATGTGTTTGGAGACAACAAGATGAAGCGGAAATTTCTGCTTGGTCATAGTTTGGAGAATAAATGAGGCTGATAAACACCCCGGGGAAAGAGGTACAAAAATGTACAGGAGAAACAGTGGGATCTGTTTGGCCAGGGAAGAATCTGAGTCTCCCCAAATTTGTGTCCTTCATGGGCCAACTCAGTGTTGGGGCTGAGAGAATGGGATCAGCCAATCCCCAGGAGAGGGCAGAGGCAATCATTCTGTCCTGTTGCAATTCTAGTTTTCCTTCCTCCCCCCATGTCACACACATCCTTTCACAGTCACCCATGCATCCTCATCTGAAATTCAGTAATTGGGACTTCTGGTTGACTGAGAGGTATACACCAATAACAGCTGCTGCTGAAATTCCTCACATAAAAAAATCTTGTGCATGTAGATCCTGAATTTCAAGTTGAGCAAGTCTGTTTTTTCTTCACATTTAAAGTTCATTTATATCCTTTCTTTTCTGATTTAAAGTGACTCTGCTCTTTTGGGGCTTCCCAAGTGGCGCAATGATTCTGCCTGCCAACGCAGGAGACCTGGGAGACTGGGGTTCCATCCCTGGGCTGGGAAGATCCCCTGGAGGAGGAAATGGCAACCCACTCCAGTGTTCTTGCCTGGGAAATCCAAGGACAGAGGGGCTCCCTCTGCAGCCCATGGGGTCGCAAAGAGTCAGACATGATTTAGTGACTGAGCAGACATGCACTGCTCTTTTCATGACTAAGTCTCCCTGCCTCTGCAATTTAGTTTTTTAGTCATTTAGTTATATTTGGCAAAGAATATTTGAGAAAAATCTCTCAAGAGAGTAGTGAATTTTATGAATCCTAAAATCTTATGTGTGAAAAAAGGAAACAACAAATTTTTAATCAAAGTAAGCAATAATGACAGGTTTATTTAAAATTTCCAGTAGAGAAAACCCACTAGTTTTGGAATAAAAGTACTCAATGTATGAGAGCGTAAGTGAATATAAAAGATTAGCAGAAGAAAAACAAAACCAAACATAGTACAAAAAAAATTTTTTTTAAGTTTGAAATTGGTTTAAACAGGGATGTTCTTTAAATCCTCCAAATATTTAACAGGGTTACTAGGTTTGGCAAATAATTCACTTGAAAATTAAAGCCTACTTCTGTATTGTAAACTCCATAAAAGCTCCTTATTAAATTCAAGCAACTCCATTCAACTGGTATTGAAGTACATAGGCAGTCAATTTCAGAATAGAAGGAATTATTCATTTGTTCTCACAGTTACATGAATTAACCAGCTGCATAACTTTTTTTTTTTTTTTTTGGGAGAGGATGAGATAGAAGATGCAAAAAAAAAAGGGATAAAATCTCTAAAAAATTGAAACACAGCAAAATTCAGACATTAGTTTGTTTCTTTAAAGCAACAAACTGAATTTTTACAGTATATTCTACATCTGTCGTTTCCCTCTCCCCCCGCCCCCTTCAATACTCCTAAACCCACTAGTCTAATCAATTCTTAACTTTCAAATATTCTGTACATATATATTTAGCAAAGAGCGTATGTCTAACATTATTCTGACAGCATTATGGTCAGCATACAATTTTAGAAAGATTACTATGTATATCACCAAGATTAACCTTTACTTAAAAAACAAACAAAAACTTTTACTAAACGAATAGTTTTAAAATATTATGAAAACCCACGAAGAGAAGACTCCACGCAGGCTCTAAACCTGATAAAAACACACGTCAGAAAGACTATTAATGCTTAACTTCTGCCAAATGATGATCTTAAAGTGCCAAACACAAAAGACTTTTAGGATCGTTTTTCCAATAGGTGATTTGTCCCTGGCTTGGCCTTCTCTCCTTTAACTATACACAAAGTCCTGCTAAAAAGTATGCGTTTTAGTTGATTTTACAATCCAATGTTACAATGTAAACTAAACAGGTTCTTGATATCAACAGTGTGTTACCCCGGTTTTTCAATTTCTGAATCCAACAGTTGGTCACAGAGGTCAAGTATTGTCAAGGCTCCTTTGTCAGTTCAGATGGTTGTCTGACTCATCCATCTTTCAAGTACATGCAAGGCTCAATAGTTTTCCAGAGGCAGAAGCCTGAGGCGTTTAAGACACAGATGAAATAGGGTTATGAGGTGAGCCCATCTGGGTAAGAACTTTATCCAGCCACTGGAGGGGGCCGTGCAGATGGATCTCGATCCAGCAGGGGGTGCTAGTAACGTCCTGGCGGTGGTATTCTGCTCCCCAGCCCTAGAAACAACAGCGGAAGTCATTGAACTTGCTTGACTCAGGGGTTCACCTTTACCGAGTAAAAGCAGCTCATACAACCAGACGCTCCGATTAAAGATAAGGTTCTCTTCACAACACAGATGTGGACACACGATTCGGCAGACAATGTCACAGCTCCCCAAAGACCATATGTGGATTCCAGATTAAGAAGCAACGTCTTAGGGGACTTCCCTGGTAGTCCAGTGGTTAACACGCCACATTTCCATTGCAGGGGACTCGGGCTGGATGGATCCCTGGTTGGGGAACTTATGATCCCGCATGTTATGCAGGATGGCCAAAAAAAATTAGAAAAAAAAAAAAAAAANGTCTCAGGGAATGAAAGTTTTAAACTACATTATCAGGTGTTAACCGCTCAGTCGTGTCCGACTCTTTGTGACCCCAAGGACCGCAGCCCGCCAGGCTCTTCTGTCCAAGGAATTCTCCAGGTAAGAACACTGGAGTGGGTTGCCATTCCCTTCTCCAGGGGATCTTTCCAACCCAGGGATTGAATCCATGTCTCCTGCACTGCAGACAGATTCTCTGCCGTCTGAGCCACCACATAAGCCCAAACTACATTATAAGGCTGTTGTAATAGCCACTTTGTAGCTTTCAGTTTCATTGCCCGTTATGTTATTGATACTATGATGACAGGTATTGTTAAATTCTTATCATCAAGAAAATAAGAAAAAAAAGGTATGTAAGACAAAGTGACATTCTGTTTCTCCCTACTCAGCCACTGACAGTTCCCTTGCAAACACAGAGCTCCTGACCTTTTGATCTCTAAGGGAATCTGGCAGAAGCACAGAAGTATCCAAAAATCTATTAGTAACACCTAACCAGTGACTCGGATCATTTGTACAAGAGGGTAGCTTGCCAGAGACCTTCAGGATTACTGAATTAGGACATAAAGGTTGACAGAAGAAAAGTCTCTATGAAAAAGAGAAAAATAATTTTGCTATTGCAAACATCAAATCCTTACAGGTGTGGTGGACGATGGCATATGAGATACTGATAAACCCTTGTTTCCTGAGAGATGTCAGAGAAGGCTGGGTTCTCTTTATCCATCTCAGGAATTTTAAGAAATGTATTTGAATATCAGAACTTTCAGAAGAAACTTGAAATATATGAACCGCATAGGTATAAACATCCATGCATCTGTACATATATCAACATACTGCTAATTTTAATTAAAAGGTTTGTTTAAGTGCATGTTTCCTGCACTAGACAGTAAGTTCTTTGAAGGCACAGACTGGACCTCACTTACTTTTTATCTCAAACATCTAGTGCAGTGATTGGCACAAAGCAGAAGCTTTAGAGATGCTTGTTGAGCTGAAATGACTTAGAACTGTCAGATATGGGGAGTTTACTCTGCAAATAACTTATAAAATACACGTTTAAAGTCCAAAATTGGTCATCTTCACAAAATAGTACAAAATCGGCTATTAATATTATTAAAATGTTTTATATCCTTTCTCTAAGATGCTGAGGGAAAAGTATGCTGTGCTTATGCTAATAAAGAACAAGGCTACAGTGATCACATTTTTTGTTGCTAATGTAGTAAGTAGCTGCCCTTTATCATGTCAGCAAGAGGTTAAAATGTTTAACTCTCCAAATCTAGCTTCTCAGCCTTGTCCTTTATAGCTTGTATAACCCTTCATTCCAGTACTTATCAATTTATATTATAATTAAACACAGACTGACGCCATCAGCATCTTGGAGCTAGAGACTTTAGGTGTTTTATCATCTTTGTACTGCTATTTTGGAATGGTGCTAAAAAATGTTTGCAGAATGAATGAAATGCTAATCTATTTTTAATGCATATCTTTGATTATAAACACTTTTTATTAGTGTAAAGGTGGTTTTCAGTTGTGTAAAAGTAAATAATTAAAAATCTGTAAAAGTAAAATCATTAAAATTGATTGGGTAATCAATAAGAAATAAGTTTGAGAAGAAAGCCAACTGGAGCATTACAGTCATAAATTCTCCTAGAGTGGTCCTTTGATAATAATAATGGACTCATCAAGGGACTGCAGTTATGACTGAAGTTACCTAACTACAGCCACCCATTTTAAAGATAATGAACAGGGGGATCAGGAAGGAATCTCTGGGCCTTAATCACACGACAGACCTTAATCACACGACAGAATTAGAACATGGATCTTCATGTTTTATTTATTATATTTCCTCCCTATCAATAAAAACAATAAACATAAACAATGCTGGCAAGTCACTGTCCTAATTTTAAAATTCACTTTAGTCAAAACGCTAAGTCAAAAATGAGGGACTTCCCTGGTGGTCCCTGATGCTGGGAAAGATTGGGGGCAGGAGGAGAAGGGGATGGCAGAGGATGAGATGGTTGGATGGCATCACCAACTCAATGGACATGAGTTTGAGCAGGCTCTGGGAGTTGGTGATGGACAGGAAGCCTGGTGTGCTGCGGTTCATGGGGTCACAAAGAGNGCCACAGTAAGTTGTTGTTGGTGGTGGTTTAGTCGCCAAGTCGTGTCTGACTCTCTTGTGACTCCATGGACTGAAGCCCGCCAGGTTCCTCTGTCCGTGAGATTGTCCAAGCAAGAACACTGGGGTGGGTTGCCATTTCCTCCTCCAGGGGATCTTCCTGACCTAGGGATTGAACCTGTGTCTCCTGCGTTGCAGGTGGATTCTTTACCACTGAGCTACCTACTGACTTATAAATTTAATCAGATATTTGAACTTTTTTTATACTTTGATGGCATCTTAAAATTTTTAGTTCTCAGAGGCAGAAGAAGAGGCAGCAAAGAGGTCAATTCTAGTGAACAATGTCTGTAACCTTCACCCTCCTCAAACCTAACAGTACCATCTTAGCGCTGAGGCAAGGGCCTTATTAAACTCTTAAATTATAACAAAATCACAAGCTTTGCTGGAACCACTAAAAAAAAATCCTCAACCAATCAAACATAAATCTCAGTGTGATGAACTTTTGCTTTGAAAAAAAACTTTGACTCTACAAAAAAAATCACTTGCTTATTGCTAAAACAAAATCACCAAGTGTTTATCATCATAAAAATGCTAACAAATATAGAATTAAAAAAAAGAGGGGTGTGTTTATAGGATTGATCTCATAAGACAACCATGCATTTAGAGTATATATGTTATATATATAAAACATATTCTAATAATATTACAATAGATAAAATAGCACTACTCAAATAAGGAAGTTTTAAAAAACCTGCTATTATTAACATTTAACACAAACACTCCTACATTCCAATGATATTTTCCCAATAGGTGACATCTTATTAAAGGTTAAAATGGCTAGATAATAAGTTGGTGTCTACAGACATGTATCAAAAGGATACAGATTTACATATAATGCAGAAGTGCATTAAACCCTGACCAGAGGAATCAAAACCACTTACCTTCACAAAGCTCATGCGAATAGTACACATTTTTGTGAGCTCATAGACCGTCTCGAAGCCGTGGTTCACAGACTGTGCCAGTAGCTGAGCAAACTCTTGGTTATTAAAAATTTTCAAACTACACCCACTCGGGATCTTGCAAACAGTAGTGGGATGAAATCCGTGATGGTAGTTGCAGTTCCGACTTTGCACAAAAATACTACTGTCACTGAGGCATTCGGCATATACCTCACCTCCAACATAATAAAGATGAACTCCTGCAGGAAGACAAGCATACGGGGTGGTTATTACTGCTTTTCACAGCTGACAAGCATCGCTGTAGCTTCAGAATGTAAATTTACACGGTTATTAGATAAACATTCTCTAAGTCTTGCACAAATGATAAAATCTTAGTTAACAATATCAGTTAATACAAAGTCCATATGTCAACATGCATGTCTAGACAATTTCTAGAAAATATTTAATAACACAGCAAAGTGTGTTAACTTAAAAATCAGTTAACAGAGGGTAGCAATTTCATTTTGAAAAGCATTTAATGCCCTAGTTGGCCATGGATTGAGAGCACAGTCTCACTTAAAAAATAGAGCATAATAAAGCTGGACTTGATTATGGGATCCTACACATATTCATCACATAAGCTCTCTTGTATTTATTTTGCAGCTAAGCTGTTCAAAAAATTTTAGGATAAGGAAAGGGAGGATCAAGAGGAGTAAAAAACCAGAAAACCACAGGTGGAGGAAGTATTGCTGAGAGCTGAAAGAAGAAAAGGTCCAGGGAAAAAAGCCCAGAAAAAATAATTCAGGGTAGAATATGAACTCGCTGAATTATCATCTGCTCCAAACTTCTTCCGGTGATATCTTGAGTACCAGGAGTGTAGGAAATTGATCTTATCCAATCCTTAAAAAAAAAATGAAAGGGGGGAAAAAAAAACACCACTCTGACAAAGCCCCATATCATTACAGGCCACCAAGCAAAGAGTCACATCCCACGTGGCTTTCAACAGAGGACCTTGCAGGTAACTGGCAAGGCTTAGTCAGCGCCAAAACCATTGTCTCATCCAAAATACTGTGTGCTGTGTTTATAAGTATAGACAATGGCTAAGATTCCTGTAACAATTACATCGCCGCTGGAGCAGAAGTCCATTTTTCTGTCTGATGTAGAGAAAACAATTTGAGGGGGTGTGTGTTTGTTTTTTTACTTTTTTCCTGATTATAAAACTGAGGAATTTTCATTTTAGAAAATTTAGAAAGTTAAGCAAAATATAAAGAAGCAGAAAACATGATCACTCTTTTAGTGGACCAGAGGTAATAACTATGAATACACATCATTGTGGGTCTTGGGTATCACCAAACTTTCTTTGCAAACATTTAACACATTTCCATGACTGAATGAACACAACAATTTATTTAAAGGATTCTCCCGTTACTGGACCATTCTGTCAATGCTAATTTTCTGTTATGATAACAATGCCATAATCAATGTCGCTGCATAATTCTTGATAATATCCTTAAGAGAGACTTCTGGAAGTTAAGTCATTGGATCGAAGGCTTTTGATTCACTTTGCCAGAGTGCTTGTGTCAATTTACATGTCTCCAGCTGCAGATGTATACCGTTCTCATTTCACCCTTGCCAGTACTGAGTCTGAGTTTAAAACACAACAAAATTCCCCTAATTTATAGCTGGAAAACAATATTGTTCTAATTTGCACGTGAGTCTGGATATGTGCTCCTCTGCTTACTCACCACCTGTGCTGTGTTTCTCTTGTGGATTTACTGTTCATATTTCTTACCTATTTATCCACTGGAGTTCCTGTATTTTAATATTTTTTATGAGCTGCACATATAGGAGAGATATAAATAATTTATTTCCTATTTGTTTCCCTGCTAGTCCTTTGTCTTTTAATTTTATTCACGCTATTGTTTTTCTTTAACCCACAGAAGTCTGAAATCTCTAAATAGACAAATCTCTTGTAAACTTTTCTGTTGCTTTTTATGCTTAGAAAATCTCTGCCTCTCTGATCAGCATGTTTTCTTCAAACTTTTCAATAGCTTGCCTTAAAATAATTCAACTCATTAACCCACCTGCATATATGGAATGAGGTCAGGATTCGTACTCTTAGTCTCCCTGCAAAGCTAACTTTGTTATTACAGGACAGCTGAAACAGTCTACCAATTTGTTATGTTTTACCTAACACACATTAAACTTTTATATATAGTACAGTCTGAATTTATTTTATTCAGTTGCTTTGTCAACACACTAATTTACTCCTCCATTAAAAAGTTTAGCTATTTTCACGAAATTATACCCAGGGATCCAACCCGAGTCTCTCAAATTGCAGGCAGATTCTTTATCATCTGAGTCACCAGGGAAGCCCCTTTAATACACACTTCCAGAAAATATGCATAATATACATCTTCCAACTTTCAAAAAACATCACACTGTGATTCTGACATGGATTGTTTTAAACTATGAATTATATTAGGAAGAATTAGAATATCCTTATAATGCTCTCACAATATTAAGTCTTCTCTGTAAGGAACATCGACTGCCATTTATTTATTCAAATTTTCTTTCTCTCTCAGTTAAATTTAGTTTTCTTTATATAATTCTCATATATTGCTGGTTCAGGTTATTTATGCATTCTGTTGCTACTTAGAATGTGATTTTTTTTCTCTCCATTATATTTTTCTAACTGGTTATTGCCATATTAAAGAAAACTGACATACAATTTCTAAAAATAGATTCTTTAGCAGTTTCTAGATAAACAATCCTATTATTTTATTAGACACAATCACCGTAAGTAATTTTGAATGAGTAAAAATGGAAAGACACTCATAAGTTTCTGGTATGACTGAAAATTAAAAAAAACTTCCTGGAAAGTAATTTGGCAAAATACATCAAGAGTTTTTGGCCTTCTAATTTCACTTCAAAGCCGATCCCAAGAATATTATCAATCAATCATATCATCTACAAATAATGGTAACTTGGCTTATTTCCATTATTTATAAATCTTCATTTGAGTGCTTCTAGTCAAGGCATCTGGAACAATTTTAGCAGCATTCTCAGAATCCATGTTTTCTTCCTAATTGTTATTAGGAATGTTCCAGAGTACAATGGCTTTTTACTACTGTGGAGTAATGGTCAACTTAGAACGTAATGAAAAATATGCTCCTCTGTCCCAAATGCATGCAAAACTGTGTTTATATACAGTTTCAGGGGTTTACAGACCACAGGAAGATATCTATATGCTATGAACCTAAGTTCTGGCATTCCATCATTAAATGTGTAGTTTAGATTTTTTTTTTTTGCCTTAACCATACTAAGGAACTATCTATCAATTCCTGCTTTAAGAGGAGTTATTTTTGTTTCCAGGATTAAATGCTCAACTGCATCTCCAATGTCTTTTAAGGATCTATTAAATAACCTTTTAATTTGGTTTAAATTTCACAAGAGGTCATTTAAAAAGTTTTACTCTGGAAATAATTTCAAACTTATAGACACAGAACAAACAACAAAGAAAAACAGAACAAAGAACACCCGTATAACCATTATCCAGATTCATCTGTTGTGAAAATTTACTCCATATGTTCACCACGGGTACCACCCCCATCTATTCTTCCACACACACCCTCATATACACACACCCTCATATACACACACGTGTGTATATATTCTGACAGAGGACTCTCAGATGGATAGATGTCTCTCTCTATTGATCGATAAATATATAAGACACATATGATTTCTTCCTGAACCATTTAACAATGGCCCTTTACCCCTATGTATTTCTTAAGAACAGGAGTCTTCTCTTACAAGCCACAGTACAGTTAGCAATGCCAGTGCACTTAACATTGATATACTATGTCTATTCTTTCTACCACTCATATTCTAACTTTGTCTGCTAACCCAAGAATAACCTTTGTAGTATTTTTTCCCTGTCTGGTACAGGATCATGTCCAGGGTCAGATTACTACATAACTGTGCTATCTCACTAGCATCTTTTAATTTGGAATATTCTCACATCTCTGTCTTTTGATATTGAGATTTTGGAAGAATACAGTCCCTCCTCACCCTTTTTAATACAGTGTTCCTCATCTGTGGTTTGTCTGAAGGTACCCTATGATTAGATTCAGATTTGCATTCTCAACTGGAATTCTCTGTGGGTGATGTTACCTCCTCACCAGGGAACCACAGCTGCAGACATGACAGCCATCTGTCTCTCACTGGTGATGGTTATTTTGATCACCTAGTCAAGTTGTTCTCCAATTTCTCCAGGATACATAATTGATTTTTACTCTCCCTTGTAAGTAATAGGCAGTCTGTGAGGAGATACTTAAAAATCATACAAATACCCTGATTCTCATAAAAAAATTCTCTCTATACTTAGCATCCATTGACAATTCTTGCCTGATGGGCTGCAAAATGGAGACTTTCCACCAACTCACACTATATTTAGCCATCAGCTTTCGCCATTCATTTACTTACCTATTATTGCTATGGACTTATGAATTACTATTGCTCTCCAGTGGTTTAAAACTCATCACTGTATTTATTTAATTATTTCAGTGTTTCAATTATCCAAGTTGGCAGTGGAAATCACTCCAAGTTGGTTCCTGTGACATGTCTCCATCATGCGTACATATTTCTTTACTTTTGGACATAACAAAACATTCTATGCTCATCTTGTGCCCACCTGTTCCAGCCTTGAAATCAGCCCTTTCTCCAAAGGCTGGGTTCCTCTCTAGCAGCATGGTGTCAAGAAAAGATGATCTGATCAGTGAATGTGCTTACTACTGCTGGGTATCTTTGCCTCTTGGCCCTTTCAGCAATAAAACTTCCACAGGGTTTGTTTTTTACCCTCCATCACGTCTCTTATACCACAGCGGAAACCCAGGGTCCCCACAACATCCACACATTTAGTCACTTGCTTAATTTTATAATAAGAATACATCTTAAAGTTTCATAACTGTTCCCTTCATTCTGCCACTAAATAATCAAGACTACTCAAGCGAGCGCAGGATATGTTTGTTGGCACTCTACCTTACCTGGCCCAGACCAAGGATATGCAAGTACTATGTTAGTGTCGTTCAGTTGTGTCTGACTCTTTGCGACCCCATGGACTGCAACTCACCAGGCTCCTCTGTCTACGGGATTTCCCAGGCAAGAATACTGGAGTGGGCTGCCACTTCCTGCTCCAGGGGATCCTCCCAATCCTGGGATTGAACCCAGGTCTCCTGCATTGCTACTATATTCATAAGTTATTCTGAATTTTTTTTCCCCAGTAAGTTAATGTATTCCACTTAAAATACATTAGAGTTTACTTGTTTGCATTTGCTTTTAGTCATAGGTTGTAAAGAATTTTTAACAGCTATTTCGTCCTGCAGCAAAACATATGACAGAAGAGTATCCCCAAATAGCCCATCACAATTTCAACTAATTAAACGACAATTATGAGTCAGTAGACCACAAAAATCACTGATTGGGAAATGAACTTCCTGATGACACAAATTAAAAAACTATATACAAACAGGAGCAGGTGCATATTATCTGGCACTGGCTCCAAGAATGACTGTCGTTCAGTTCTGGGGGAAGGAGAACACAACAGACAGACATTCAAGGGAAGCTCCAGTGAAGGCTCACCTTTCCCGATGTGCCGCCTGGTGTTTTCGATGGTGGAATTCCGGTTAACGTTGGAGAGCAGCCCGAGGCAGAAGCGGTTCTTGTTGTTGGAAGGATCGGTGAAACCGTCCACCAGCACGCTCGTGGAGGAGGCGTGGAACGCTTCGCCCACACGATTGTTGAGCTCGTAGTAGACAATAGAGCACCAGTGTTTCGGTTCCTCATAAGCAACTGCCTGAACATCTGTAAGAAGGGAAAGCTTAGAGTCAGCCATGAGGAGTGCCCCAGGCGTCTGAAAACTGAAACTGTGGCGTAAAGTTGGCTCAGGGTCATGGAATGAAGATGTGACACAGCCACCACTATTATCAGGTACGGAGTTCATCTCTGATCTCGGAAGCAGGGACTCCTTGCTAAGTGGCGCATTCACCTTTCATTGGAAGATAATTTTCTCTGATGGCTGTCGGATCAACAAGACGACAGCTAAGCACTCCAGCAGTATGGCTGGACACTCCCAGGACACTGCTGGCTCTATAATTTGCCAAAATGGAAATGACCCCACCACTGACCCTGGCTCACCATCTAAAGAAAGACAACAAGTGGCAAGTGAAAAAGAAACAAGTGGGGAGAGAACAATAGAGGACAGGAAATATGCCAAAGGTGCTGGCACAAAAAAGGAATGACTCCGGACAGCGCCTCAGTATGCCGATGCTTTCTCAAAGCAATGAAAAATCAGTTTCTAATTATTGATAAGAAGTTACTTGACTTCACGCTGCCAATAACTCTCACAGTTACAGCCTTGCTCCAGTCCTCAAACTCAGGAAGAAATCTTGCCAGCTGGCCATTCTTCCTGGATGAATCATATCTCTCTCACCCAGATTTCATGCTAACTTCCTTATATTTGCTTTAAGTCATGCAGAGCAGGTGTGTTTTGTCTCTCCATTCCCAGAATGGGCCAACAATGGAAATTACCCAACTTTACTGACAGGATGCAGCTTGTTAAGTCAAATCTCTTAAGACTAACAAATCTCCAAACAGAACATACTTCTAAACATTTGCAACTAAAAGGTTCTAAAGATAAGTTCCTTCTGCAGTAAAACCTCTTATATCACTGCTTTAGAGATTCCAGGAATACAAACCATATATTTCCACTGTGCCAATATGTAATGATCTGAAGTTTTTTTATGAAGCCTGGAGTATACAATCATTAAAAAAAAAAAAAAGAAAGAAAATTCATGTTGGAAGCATGAACTCTGTTAAAGGAGAATGACCTCTGTGTTCTGAACATCAACCTCAATGAATATTAAAATGCCCTTTACTTTAGAATACGGTAAAGAAATTAAGAAAAATAATCATTAAAAAATCCATCCATACATTAGCTGCTTTATACACCTAAGCAGGTGAGTTGAAAACAAACACCATCTTCCATGATTGCTAAGTGTCATCCCATGTCAATCAGCCTGTTATATCAATTAGCAAGGTTCGTTCAGATTTACAGGTGCCAAATCTTAAAGAAGGCTGCAACGTCATTAAAAGAAGGCTTTAATCAGCTACCAGGATCAAAGTACTATTCACCTAGCTTGGAGACTGACAATTTTTTTCTGTAAAAGGCCAGTAAGGTCTTAAGAGGCCATATGGCCTCTGTGGCCGCTGTTCAACTGTGCCCTAGCTGTGCGAAAACGGTCACAGATAATACATAATGAATAAACATGGCTATGTCCCAATAAAGCTTTATTTATACAAATAGGTAGCAGGCTGATGTGGCCCGTGGGTTGCAGTGTGCTGACCCCTGCTCCAGGAAAACCACCAAGGTTCAACAAAGCCAGCAGTCCTTAGAAAAACATTAACTGTAAACTTACTTTCTAATGGGGAAGCAATTTTAAGCCATTTAAAGGAAAAATCTGAAAGCCGATTAAAGGTCTGTTTTCCGAAATCAGACAGCGTGGGCTTAACAACCGTGGCCACAAGTCAACATGCTCGTAACTGTTTCAGGCTATGCCCATTCTCTTCTGTTCCCCAAATACACATTCCAAAGCTGTGTGAGATAGGAGTGATTTTCCCCAACCAGAATCTTTGTCAGCTCATAATTGTATGTTTGAGAGGATGCTTCACAGATGATCAAAATCCAGGGTCAGTAAAAAAATGAAACACATAGCCAATAAAACAGATATAAGAATGCTCACACCTTAAAAAGGTGTAACTTCCAATTGACTGCACTGCACATTGAAGGAACGTTCTCTGAGTTCATCATCAACTTTGAAAAGCTTAAAGAGTATCAGCAACTTCTGACAAAGTCTGAGGTTATTTCCAGTCCTTTACTTAAAAAAGTGCTAACAATGAAATAAGACGTACCTAATAATGAACTTCTATTTTAACTTCAATTTGCATCGTTGTTGTTTAGTCACTAAGTCGTGTCAGACTCTCTGTGACCCCACGGACTATAGCCCTCTGTCCATGGAATTCTCCAGGCAAGAATACTGGAGTGGGTTGCCATTTCCTACTTGAGGGGATCTTCCCAACCCAGGTACTGAACCCGTGTCTCCTTCACTGTAGGCAGATTCTTTACCCCTGAGCCACCTGAGAAGTCCTTCAATTTCTATTAATTGAACCATGCACGCAGGGAACAAATGCTATTAGTTTTGTTCAGCTGCCACGATGCTAGATGAGGGCCAGAAAGAAGATGGGGCTTATGAACATTTGTCCTGACAACAAAAGAAGCTTTTGGAAAGCTTGTTATATGCATTTTCATTTTGGAAATCACCAGTGAAAACTCTACTTCAATTTTATACTGACTTTCCCCCCTCCTCAACATCCCTTTGTCTTTCACTTAAAAATATTCTTTTATCATCAATTTGGAAGTATTAAGTACTAAGGCTCTAAACAGATGGCTGCACAATTATATTTAGACTTTCATTAGCTAAATCGGTATGTCTGTTCTTCATATAAAAGGCTTATTTGTAATCCAAGGAATCTTTCCACTAAAATTCTCTTACCGTAAGTGCTCTTTTTCAAACAGCTATCTTTTTCAAGACTAATAAAAATTTGTGAGAGAAAGCAACATTTGGACCAAGAACTTCAGACTCTAAAAAGAGAATAAGCAGCAGTTCATCTTACCTCCTCTGTTGATTTCTGAGGGCAGAGAAGGCGCCATCATATTTGTGTCCATGGGTTGAGAGCCATCCTGGGTCATAGGGTCTTCAGGGGGCAGGTAAGCAGGTGGGGGCGTATCTGCTACAAAATTTGGAAAAAAAAAAAAAGACTTGTTTATCCTTAGTAAACACACAAGCACACAAGCTTAAAACATATATTCTCTTCCACGCAGAAATTCTTAAGAAATTAAGTGGCCACTTCACCCTCCCCATCTGAAGACTGGATGATACAGACATTGGGCTTGGTGTATGCTTTTTGAAAATGGCTACCATCTCATATTCTTATATGGCTGTAGTGAAAATTCAGTGGGAGGAAAGCATCGTATACCAGTTTTAGAAGCTGTCTGCTTACCCAGAATCACTCCTTTCTAAAACAATCAGAAGAGCATTTAAACGTGCTTGCACACAACCCACTTTCAAAGGACCTCTGCATTTTGTCTTTTCCCTGGTGGATGGAAAACTTTTGAAAGCTACACAGGACTTCTTCAGAAAAGGAGCTTCAGGGTCTCGTGCACTAAATCTATGGGCTCTTAGGAATTTACCAACTGAGTTTCATGACAGCCAACTTACTGACTCAAACTGTGAATTTCCATGACTTCAAGAAGTCTGCTAGGACCACCTAACTTCCTATCCACTCCTATCACTAGCCTCTAGCAGCAGAATAAGAGGAAATAAATCAGTTTGTCAAACAATCATCTATTTCAGAATTTTTGTACACATTCCTTCTGGAAAGTTCACAATCAACTGGCAAACAAGACGCAAACAACGTGATTTTTGAAACAACACTAACACAAGTCTTGTGCTTTCACATTTTTCACTTTTAATTTTTTTTTGATGTGGACCAATTTTTAAGTCTTTACTAAATTTGTTACGATATTGCTTCTGTTTCATGTTTTGGTTTTTTTGGCCATGAGGGGGATGTGGGATCTCAGCTCCCCAACCAGGTATTAAACCTGCAGCCCCTGCACAGAAAGGCAAAGTTTTAACCACTGGACCCCCAGGGAAGTCCCAGTCTTGTACTTTCTTAAGTAAAACAAAGGGTATGGCTTTCCCACAAATAATCCTTCGTGATGGAAAAACAAGTTCCTCAAGGGCCATGGCGAGCCCATGGTACCATCTAGCACATACGGCAGTTTTACTTTAACCCGTAGCCTGGATGAGTAGTTGACACCACTCAGGGCAACCGCCAAAGAGAAAGAGCCAACACGGCTCTTGCAGAGTTTCTCGGTGATTTCCCAGAACGACTCCCCCGCTGAATCACACCCTGGCCACTTCCACCGTCTCCCCAACCCCCACCCCCTCAGCCCCCAGCTGCTAGGAGCTAGGCCCCAGAGCACAGAGACAGGACCCCGGGGACCTGATCCGGAGGCCTTTTCTACCCTTTCTACAGCTTTTTAAAATTCAGCTTCTTCCCTGCAGCTGTAACACTGCCTCTGTTTTATTTCCAGCCAAAAACGAAGACAAAGAGCCTCCTCTGAGACCAAATCCAATAAATTTCTGCAAGCAGGCTGGTGAAAACTTCATCAACCCCCTGTGGCATCAGCTCCGGTGGGAAGGACTGGATACCATGGGTGATGCTCTGCTCTCTCCATGAGGCCCTCCTCCCACCCCTTCAGCTTTCTCTGCTCCAAGTTTTCTCTACTCGGCCTGGGCCTTAATCCCTCACAGACAGGGACAAGGTGTAAATTCACGCAATAATCTTCAGTAGTTTCCACTCCTGGGGCTACCCTGAGTCTGCCACTGCTTCAAAGCTGCCCCAAACAATCTCCTTGCCTCCAACTTGTTCCTCAAACTCAACAGGTCCAGGAGGGGACAGGAAATCACCAGATGATATGAGTTGGATTTTGAAATAAATCTATCTCCCATCCTCATCTTAAACAGTTTCTGATTGAAAAACAAGCAAGTTCAATATAAACAGGTTTAAAATGTAAAAAAGCACTAAATACCTAAATAAAAGATACGAATATCAAGTATGGGCCACTTTTCAATTTTTGAGAAGACACTAGCTATGCTATCAGATTCAAATTTGCCCCCAAACATTTCAATATGTTAAACATGCTTGCCCACTCCTTTTCCCTTCTTGAAATGTTAATAGATATGAAGTGTATCTTTGCTTAATGTACCCTCTGTGAGGCTGACTGGCTAGAAATCTGGCACTAATCATTTTTATTGTTCTGAGATGCTGGCCTATTAACCTATAACTCGAAAAATATAATGTCCTAATTAATCATTTAATTGACAGACATTACACCCTCAGAGAAGGCTACAAAAGGATAATGGTCTTTTGTCTTTGCTAAGTTAAACAAGCAGATGGTTTCCAGTACTTCTGTTGCAAGTCCTTTGTTGTTCAAGTGTATGTTTCTCAGGATTACATCACCACTTAAACGAATTTAATTAAGTGTGTGGGGGGGTGTGTGTGTGTGAGATCCCCCAGGAAATATCTTTTCTGAGGTTGCGCTTATGACAGGGTTTTTTTTCCCCCCTTGCATGAAAACAGCAAATGTATGTGGTGTGCTATTTTTTTTCCGCTCGCTTTTATCAAGAGCAAAGGCTGGAACAACCATGCCACTCCCAGAAGGATGCAGCTGTTTCAAAACCTTCCAAAAATCAAACACGAAAACATATTCAAGCATCTGTGCTGGACAAATAAAATACCGCCTTGCTTGGCTACGAGGTGTCTCCTTTCATTCAAAGTTGTATCCTGCATTTTAGAGCACCGGGCCATGTCCCAAGGCTTGCGAGCTCTCCCCGTTCCAGGAAACCCGGCTTCTCCACGGAACTGAGATGACGCGTCTCACTGACCACAGAACATCACCGAACGCAGCAACCTACCTGGCATCTGGAAGGGGCTTCCTGGGTCTGAGCTGGTCGGAGAGTGAGGGTACGTGCTGCTGCTGCTTCCAGGAGAGTTGGGGTAACTGCTGTTGGGAGAATGAGGAAACGGATGGCTGCTGGGCTGCTGGAAAGAATCCGGGAAGGTGGCGTTGAGTGGCATGTGAGGCTCGTTCTGCCCTAGGTTGCGGAACTGCGCTAAGAGGCTGTGCTGAGGATTGTATTCACTGTGTCTTGGAACCAGTACTGGAGGAAGAACTGGAAAGGGGGAAAGGGCAAAAAAAAAAGAGGGTACAAAATCAGAGTGATGAAAAGCTTTTAATAAGGTCACACTGAAACACAACAAAGTTGAAACATAATCTGTAAGTCACAACAAGTTATTTGAACCTTGTTGCGCTGCCAACTCAAAAGCACCATTCAAATGAAAAGCCATTTCCCGCTCGGGAACAAATGCGGTAAAAACGATGGTCTGCTCAGAATCACTGACGGCCTAGCCAGAGAGCCGCAGCATCAACAGAGTGCCCAGGCAAAGTCCGCAAAATACACTCTTACGTGAAAAATGTTAAAAGTTCCCTGATTCTTAATTTTCTCACCCACTAGAAACCAAGGCACAGCTAAGAACATACATCGCCATCGACAAGTCCAGTTTACCGCCCTGGTGGAAAAGGGAGGTAACTCTTAACTCTGTCACACTTAAGAGTTAATAATATTTACTGAACGCTGTGAATTAGTCACCACAAACATTTTAAAATTAAGTCTTTGTTGAGTCTGTTACAATATTGCTTCCGTTTTGACTTTTTTTGGCTGCGAGGCACGTGGGATCTTGATCGCTCACCAGGGACCGAACCTGTGCCCCTTGCATTTGAAGGCAAAATCCCAGCCACTGGACCAGCAGGGCGGTCCCTACTCACCACAGATGTTTTAAATGGACACGTTAGCTCACTTTAAACCACAGAAAGTGTGCTAATAGTAACTAAAGTTGAGAGGCTACATACAATGAGCAGTATAAAATCCAAACGCCAGTGAAGATAATTAATTAGATAAAATATGATGTTTTGTGGGACAGACTTCATAGTGTGTCCTAGTAGTCACACTTCATGAACACCTTCCTCTAAGGACCTGAATGTATTTGCCACTTCTCAGCAATCCTTATCATTACCTGATAGGCAAAGGAAGCAATACAATCTGCATTTTACCTACTGAATGCCCAAGGTACAAAGGTCCAAAAAATGTACGCACTAGTAGAGAAGGAAATAAGACAAGTCAAATCACTCCCCAAAGCTCCGTGTGTTAGGAACCTAAGGAGTCAATAACTAGCATGGTGGTTCTCAATCTCCAGAAAACCCCAGAGGCAAAGCCACCACAAGGGTGATGAGAAGGGAAGGGATGGGCCAGCTACCAGAACCCTAGCTGGGTTTTCCTAAGCTTCTTGCAGGGTCACCAGACGGCTCCTCCCCAATAACACAGGGCCCTGGAATCCCCACTGCTCTTGTGGCCTTGGTTAGAAGGAGAAAAACAGGCCATCTGGTAAGCTTCACGAGAGGGAAAGCAGGAGATTTAAAATCTGCTATTTCTGTTGGGAGTTAGGACTCAGAATACATTTCCCCCAAGAAATCGTATTTAGTGGCATTAGGAATTAAGTAGATTTTTGAGGACCTTCCAGTCAATCTACCCATGGCTTATACCATTTCTACAGGAAAAAGTGCTCTTAACACTTGGATTGTAACTGATTCATGAGCTTAAAATTGTTTAAGTAAAAATCAGTTTCTGAAGGTGTTAAAAGGTCTCATATGCTGTATCTTAAAGGTCTCCACAATCCTCCATAAGATTCACTGATTTCCCTACAATTTTATCCCTTAGAAACAAATCTTTTTGGTGTAATAAATGTACTTCCTTTTTCACACAATGATGGAGTTTGTCTGAATCAAAAGCATAATTGTTACTTATAATGGAAAAGAATCTAAAAAAGAATGTGTGTGTGTGTATATATAAGTATATGGCAGAATCACTTTGCTGTATATCTGAAATGAGCACAACACTGAAATCAACTATACTCCAATTAAGAAAAAAAAAAACCCACAAAGAGAAAAAAAGTAAGATGAAAAGACATAATTCTTCCTTTTACCTTTCAGTAATCACTTGAAATGTAAACTACTTTGGTTGAAGAAAAAGTTCCCAATAGTCATAAGCATTTTCCCAACACCAACAGAAATCTATTGGGTTGGTTAGAAGGTTTGAGTTTTTCCATAAGATGAACATTTTGGTCAACCCAATATATTCTAAATTAAGACACATGCCCTGAACTAGTGCAATATCTTTAAATTACCTACACAATCAAACACTTTCCCTTTTTCTTTCAGCTGTTACAACTTGAATTACCGCTTCCCAATTTGCCTTTATAGTCACTATTCTGATGCTTACCTTTAACAGCTAGAAAATACTGGCCTCTAAACCCTCCTTAGAAAGCATCACTACCAACAAAGCTAGTGGAGGTGATGGAATTCCAGTTGAGCTATTTCAAATCCTGAAAGATGATGCTGTGAAAGTGCTGCACTCAATATGCCAGCAAATTTGGAAAACTCAGCAGTGGCCACAGGACTGGAAAAGGTCAGTTTTCATTCCAATCCC